ACCTGTCCTTCCAGTGAAGTTGGAAGAAAGCGTTTCAACAGGATTATTGATAGTCACGATCCTTTGCTGTATTCCATCAGCATACGGAATTGATGGTGATATCCAAACGCGGGGCATGCTCTCTTTACAAACGACGTGTGCTCAGGTAAAAGGCGAGCGTTGTATTTTGTGGAACAAAAGCAGATAATAGAGGCCTATACCTTTCAAGAAATCAAAGCGCACTGCTCACGACTTTTGGTGAGTAATGTTCATGCGAATCCAGCGATGTTTTACTGGACGCACCAGATACCTCAGTGGTGGTACCCCTAAAGGCATTGTGTTGGCCGGGGTTTGGTGCGGGGTGAATGCCGCCGTGATGTCACGCACAGTGGCTTCGTACAAGACTAGTTATGTCAATGCTTGCCGCCAGTGGCGGGGACCACGGCAGGCGGCCAGTCATAGTGGCCACCGGATTCGTGCAGTCACTGTCGATGTCGTGGTGTCTGTTTTGTTCGCTCGAAGTGGATTGGTGCATAAATTTTCAGCCCAATGAACAATGCTTACATTGAAAGAAACATCATGAAGACATTCAAGCAAATCTTCGCTCCTTACATGGAAACTCTCAAAAAGGCTGACGCGCGGTTCCTGAATGCTTCATCAATACTTGAGGAAGCTTCGGTTAAGCATCTTTCCTTCCTCCTTTTTCCCCACCATCTAATCGCCAACATCATTCACACCTTGCACATTATAATTTCCATCTTCGCTCTACCGCGGCAGGTTTTCTAACCTGATTAACAAACCGGGGTGATGTGTTTGTATGATAATTCCGGACTCCGCTCTTCTATGAACGCCTTAAATCTTTACCGACTGAGGAAGAAAAAATCGATGTGCCGGTAATTTTCCAGGCTGGATAGCGAGGTGTTGGGGGCGGACCTGGGCCTGCGGGTTTGTAGGAAGTAGAGCCGTAAAGAGCACCGGGCAGAGCTGGGGAAAGAACTCATTCTCCCCAATGCAACGAGGGGGTGTATTGTACCTTGATGTTACGCCGTTTGGTTTATTGGGCCTAAATGCGACCTTCAAATATTGCAAATACAAAAAAGTCAATAAATAAATTAAAATAAGAGAAGAAACATAATATAATGGAACACAATACGCCAAGCCTCAGGTAGAAAGTGATATTTGTTACCAATGTAGCGAACTTATTTTATTTTACGATCGAGAAGATTTTACATAAATTGTAGATTTAATATTCATTGTTAATTTTGAATACGTAAATTAGTGTTCTTTGGAGATATTTATTATTGAATCCTTCCTGCATCGCCTGATGTTCTGAAGGGCAATTATGAAATTTAACGACTCCCCACGCGCGTACGGAAGCAGTTATATTTAGACATAATATTTGTAAAAGAAAATAAGCCCAGGGGAGGAAATATTACGCTGCACACGAACCACACAGACTTCATTTTTGTGGGGGGAGGGGGGTATTTTGCACGCTTCGTCGGAGATCGGCCATAAAGATAATGCGTTCGCGCGTGTTAATCAACGTGGGGCATCTTCTGTGTAATAATTTTTTTCCCTTGGACCACGCGTGCAGAAGCTCCGCACACTGAGTCAGCGATACGTGGAATATACGTACGTACGGTTTACTCTCGCGCAGAGTGGAAAACAGTTTCGGTCTTTTTCCGCCATGATGAATAATGATACAGTAGTGAAGTGGCCCTTGCTAAGCAATCGACATTTAATTCTAATTAATCCACTTCTATGCAGATACGCTTTCAACAACCCTTGCGAGTTAATCGAACTGCATCTTGTTTGAAGTGTCTTTACGCACGCACGTCACTGTTCAAACCAAATGTGTGGGATGGACCAATGTCTGGCGCCATCGATATGGTGTACCCAAGGCAGCTCCGTAAATTGTGAAAGAAGTCGTTAATATTTTATAAACGCAACAGGGACATGCCGCTGACGGACGAGCAAAATATTTGTTTTAGAAAGAATCCTTCGAACTCACTCGTAGCATTGTCGTAATTTGCGACCAGAGACTAGCACAATGCATCGTCCCGTTGTTAAGTTTAAGGTCACAAGTACTTATGGTGTGTGGGGCTCCCCCTGTTGATTTGAAACTTGAAACGACAGGTACACATAAAACCTGCATTTCAGTTAAAACATCCTTCAACACGTACTTGCTATCATTTTTAACATATAAATATCCAATCATATTTAGAGTATTGATAGACAGTGTTTTAAAAAGAAACTCAACGTGAAAGTTAAAGAATTAGTCGTGTTATGTTTAGTTTTATTGCATCAAAACACTGTTTTACAACGTGAAAGCAAGTTTTGGTGCTCACAGTTTCAGAGTATCTTGCGTGCCATAAACGCTGCAATACACCTGGTGGAACACGTACTTGCGTTGTAGGCCACACCACTTAGAAAACTAATTTCGCAGTGTTAGTCCCGCCAAAGTACATGAAAGTAAACTGCAGTGTATTCGTAATGGATATAAGTCGATTCAATAGTTCTTGAAGGGGTTCTAAAGAGGCGTTTTTAGTTTTACCTCGTCTGCTTCAGTGCAGTCATACTGTGGCTGTATGCAACCACAGTGCACTGCCTTATGACACTTCATATAGACTTTAAAGGCGACAAAAATTTCGGATTGCAAATTCGATAAGGGTGCAGTTTGGATTTGGCGTCCTTCAGTCGGATAATTCGCTTCTGAGAAATCCACTTCAGGAATATATCATCTTTGATGTACCACGGCGATCTACGTTAATTTATGAGCAGATGAAAGAGAAAGCTTTGTCCATTCATCACTAACACCATACTCATCACCAGAGAGCTTGATTTTGGGCAGTTTTAAATTTAAAGGTAGGCCTATGGGAAATCACTATTGCACCTTCAACGCCGCTTTATGAAAATATGTGTTGGTATACCGGTATCACGCTATCAAATTTAATCATAACAATGGAAGAACAGTAAGTTGCAGGGATGTAGTTCACTACATCCCAAAAACCAACTCTACGGTTGCACGGACGTTGTTGAGATCGTGGGAAGCGTCGTCAGGAAGTGTGCCGACTCAAAGAGGCGGGAACGCAGAAGTCGTTGTAAGCAGTTGGGTTAGTGATGACTGTTGACACGCATGTGGTTTAAGGTTGGCAAAACTGCTCGCTGACGAGTCTTTTCAACTCCACCAACCTTGAAATGCTGTTTTCATGTGGTACCTTGTCCCCTCGCGTGGAAGGAACAACTCGTTGCCTGCAAGCAAAGATCGGTGGCATCAACGTCACACATTTCAAACAACTCCCCTTCGGTCCTCCATCTTTGACACCGAGCCGTAAGTCTGAAGGGAGAAATAGTGGCTATGGCTTACTGGGCCGCTCGTCTAATGTAACAAACACCCACACATGCAGTTTGCTATGCATTTCAGAGACAGCCTGACACCGAAGGTGCATGGTGCACGGGAAAAGGGTTGTGGAAGAAATGGCGTGAATGCAAAGGATCTCTTGTCGTAAACCGCATGGAAGATGACTGTAGGCCTGTACAGACAAACCCCGAGGAGACGCCATTACTTCTGTGGCACCCATTATCGGCACCACGGTCACGTGCACGACGTTATCAAGCTTGAGGCGCACTTTAGTTGCAATTTCGGCTAGCCACGGCACCCTCTTCGTTGTGAGGCGTACACCCACGAGCGTGGTGCTAATGGCTTCTAAAAAGGGTAGCTGAATTGGTCTGTATGCTTGGGATGGTCTCACTGTGAAGAGGGAGGCACTTGCAAGCGGCCAAATATCTTTCAGGAAAACCACCAAGGGCGATCATTTCATACACTGGTGGGTAAAATGCTTCCGCCTGTAGGGCGGCATTCTTCTAAATATATCTCGTATTTATGCTCAACCATGCGCTCTACAGGAAGTTATACCACAGTACGTTTTAAACGGGAAACGAAAGGAAATGCAGTAGAATTGTCCAGTACGTATACATGTACATGGCCACTCTTTTGTCTCCAGCTGTGGCAATGTTTGTGATAACCTAGTTATCAACGGGCCGAAAGACACGCATTCAGTATACAATTCTGCCATGTATAAAAACAAAAGTCTGCCGGATAATGCGGTCGTTTCCTCAAAATAAAGAGCGTCAGCTTGACATTCCTGATTAATTGATATTCATGATCCAATTTTACAAAACTGGAGAACCCAATTCACGGCACGGCCTCGAATTACTGATGTCTTCAGTTGAGATGCGGCTGCTTGCAGATGAATAAATAAACTTTTATTAAATATTGACGGCTCCCGAAAGCCGCAGGAATATAAACGTCAGTCCAAAAGAAGGTCTCATCCCTTGCATTTATTATACAAACATGACCTAGAACTTGAAGGGCTATTTTCGTTGTTGCCTTACATTCTTGGGGACAAGGTCTTTCATCATTTTGTCCTTCGTGCATATTCCTCTATGTATAGTTATGTCGGCCAGTGTATGATTGAAGAATACACGTGCAGTAGGTCGTAATTAAACCCCTGAAATGCAATTAGTTTCTGATCTTCATTATGTCAGCACAAATGAGATATAATGAGTCTGTTCGCCGACAGGCTTCGCCATTCTGTCTGGTTCCCCGAGGGCACGATGGAGATCACCGTGAGATGGCTGGCAGTGCTAAGAGGCGCCATTACACTTCATTTCATTGAACTCACAGCAACACCATGCTGCATTAACCCGCATATGTCTGCGAGGGCATTTTGATTGACAGTCAATGTCTGGATCATGTTAAAGAATTCAGAGTTCGAGATGTGGAATTTTGATTTTCAGACACAGAAAAGTTTAACAAAACAGGAGAATGACAAAATTGAATGTAACATGGAATCTGCCCAAGTCTGGCGTATGTTTCCGTGCTCGTTGTTTTGCCCTTTTCCGTTTAAAATGCATGTACCACTCGCCCATCGCCATGTGATGCATTTACGACAAAAACAAGATGCCTTTTTCTATTAATGTGCAGTTTTACTTTCACAGTTGTTTTCATTTTGGTACAGTGTTATATCTAGGTTGTTACCAGGATGAAACACAGCGAACCTTGAGAGTATTACGCGAAGGTTTCATCGCGGATGTACGACGAATGACACTGGCCATGTGTATTCGACACTGCAGTAAAAGGTACGACCTGTGGGCATTTCCTTGTTGGAGTATAGGAGGGCTCAGGGTGGAGGATAGCTCCCATGATTACGTTGAGGCTTGTAGTACGGGCGATTAACAATAGACTATGAGTGCGCCTCCAAGAGTTTGCAACGCGTTGGCCAAGCACAACGCGCGAAATCTGTCGACCTTTTTCAAACGCTCATTGGGTTCACAGATTTCGCTCGTTGTGATTGGTCAACGCGTCATAAACTCTTGGAGGCGCACTATTGTGAAAAAGGGTATTGAAGAAACGTAAAAATAGAAACAAACATTAACATGTCACGTCAACACAACGTTTACTCGCAACACTGGTAAGTGATTTCTGACGCAGTCATGGCAACGGGAAACCCATCGCTCGCGTGCTCCGAGGACAACGTGACATGTGACCTTGTTGCTATGCAGACGAAGGACCGCGCGCACTGCAGGTCGTGAGAAAGAGAGACGCCATCTATGACTCATGAGGACGGACAATCGTGGGACTTGTATGCCTGCATTATTAAACTCCCGTGAGATCTCGCTTGTGCGCCATACCTGCCGACATGAATTACCCAGTGGCCTTTGTCTCGCTAACCTACTGGCGCGGTGTGAAAATACGACTACATTAAAGAGCCTCGTTGACTTTTATTGCGCATGTCTCAAGAGACAGAATAATCGAACACGAAGAGTATCCCATCATGATAGATTTAAATACCCCACACGTCCAACAAAATTGCAAACGACATCGGCTTATTGGTACGCAAATCCAAACTCTCCCGGCAAACGTATTGCTTGACGTGCGGATTCGTATTTTGTCCAGAAAATTATAATTTGCACAAGGCGCTGTTTTTTTGGTTGGCAGGGCTAACACATCACGATGACAGACAAAATACATTGACAGATGCTTGACTTGAAATGGACACCAATTCTCGATACGCGAATCACCTTTTCATATTTCATCCTTACGTTCTAGGAGCAGTTACTATGCTGGTTTAGAGTTCCATAGCGAGTGCTACTGCGGTCGACGGATCTACCGCAGTAAGCCAGCCAACCAGAGCCTATGCAATGCAACATGCGCGGGCAACACATCCGAGACGTGTGGGGGCGCTCCATATCTCTCCATATACCAACTGCTTGCAGACGACGAACGCGGTGGTGACCAAGGTATGTGCGATTGCATTGTTGTACCTTTCTGTCTGTTGTATGATCAATTTCTCGTTGTGCCATGGTTGGACACACGAATTATATGTAATTCAAGACTTACTATCTATCCACGAGTCTCACAACTCCCACTTCCTTCTATGTGCAATAAAAAAATTGATTAAAAATAAAAAGTAGATTGTGCATGCGACAAAGAGAGGTTCCTGGGGCATTTGCTCTTTCATTGCACATGATTCCTAAGAGATAAAAACTGCCGTTGAAAGTTGAAAAAATATAAATTATAATCTCCTGATCAGGGGAAATTTCTATCGTCAATTAAAGACGAAGGAGCCATTCGTCCGGTCTCATGGAAGATGTCACTTTGAATAGCGCTCCCAAGGATAGCAAATCAGCATCTTGATGAGCAAGATAATGGGGCTACCACGCGACATAGCGGGGGATGGGGTGCCGATAGTCGAGGGCAACGGCCGAAGTAAAGCGTAACTGAGGACAGGTTGCCGGCGATTTTTGAGAGAAGTTGCCTTTTGAGGGAGCTGTGAGGATGGGAGACGACACTTTGAATCGGGATTTTGATTTTTAAAAGGTTTGGGGAAATTCTCAGTGCTGCCGCTTTCAACTTCAGTTTTTCGGATTTCTGTTTACTAAGTTGGAAAATTCATGTTTGATTTTGAGCTCTGACGACAGCTCAACCGGCAGGTAATTACGAATCTGGCTGGTTTATTGTATGCAATTATGCGAACCCGAATTGCTTTCGGAAGTGATCAGATGGGTCCGCGTAACAGACAAGACGGGTCCACGCATCTGAAAAAGCCTTTTTGGAAACAGTGATAACCTCTAGGGGAAGGGGAGGGATGGGTCTCTCTGCGGACCCGGGGTATTTCATCGTGCAGAGAAAGCTGTGGAGTCCAGTCTGACCCCCGACTGTTGCGTCTGTGTGTAGAATTTTTCTCGTTCCGATTTGACAACCAGTCTTGTTTGCGTACTGACCCATTAATGTCTTTCCCCTTGTTATTTGTGTTCGCGTCTAAAGACAGACCCGCCTCTTCAAGCAAGTGAGCCCCGCCTCTTATGAACACATTATAGTGGGTGAAGCGGTGAGGTACATCGGCACGACATCCGAGCAGCCCAACCACCGAGTTGGCTGAACAACAAGAAACACAATATCGCGCGGGCTGCCGAAGCATCGCATTAAAAACACCGTCCCGGGTGTCCAAGAAATACAAAACTCGTTTGCATTGCACATTGGAGAATGGTCCTTGTGTCGCATCATCACACGTCAACGTATCGCACAGTGGAATCCGATAGTGGCCTGCATAAAACATACCAGGCCGAACAGGCTCCTCGAAAACAGCAAAAACTTCCGAGTGGCGGGTCATATGATCGACAACTGCCCCTCAACGTCGGCATCAAGGGACTGCTTATTTTGGGGGGCCTGGATTATTTTGATAACTAAAACACATCGCTGCGGGTTAGATCATGGTTAGATGAAGAAGTTATACCGAGGTCAATTTGAGCTTGCATTACACTAAGGGTAAACAAAACAAAACCTGAGACGGGCCCGTAAATTGTAAAAAAAAGTTACCATTTATAAAGATGGGAATCTAGATGCAGATGTATTTGCGACGGCGACGCGAGTACGGGGTTGAAAAGCCGTTCTCTGGTTTAATAGGGGACCTGGACATGCGCTAAACTGATCTCGAAAGTATTTTTTCAGACATCGACGTGGTCCTCCGTCTTAAAAGTTTCGATGCTGCGTGAACTGTCTACTTTCAGTTTTCAGCAGACTAAAAAGGTTATTCCATTCCTTTTCCTCTTAACTGGGGTTGGAGTTCACACCAGTTTTGTTTGACCGCTGAGCGGCGATGAGCGACTTTGCTAGGCGCCTGCATTCCGTGGTGCCCCAGGTTGGCTTAGCGCGCATTAAGACGGGGATTTATCTCCCCCCTGTGGGGAGAGAGTTAGGATGATTGCGAGTCATGCCGGTGGAACTTCTCCTCAGAGAGGTTTTTCTGAAGTTCGTGTTAAAAAAGATGAAAGGCTCTCGAACATAATACGTTAGCGTGCAAACCTCCCTCTACTCAAGGATTCCGAGAGGTGCTGTATGAGATGAGAGTCGACAGCGTTATGAAGACAATCTGACGTGATGCATTGCTTAGGGTTTTAAGCTTCCCCAACATAGTTCTTTATTTTATTTACTCCATTCCAGCCAATGCATATTTTGCAAGCCTATTCCAGTGTGGAACTCTCAAATTCGCTCGCTAGTGACATACCCACGGACACAGTGTACCATCTTATTTCAAAGCCAGACTTGAATCAAGGCTAAAGACCCCGATAAGCCACTATGAAAAGTTAGTTTGTATTTAGTATCCAGCCAACTCTGATGTCCGTGCAAAGTGAACAGGTTGAATTTTGTAAAGCAATCTGTACCTCCCACCCTTACACATTAATTTGGCATAGGTAAAGACAAAGGACTCCATCACCGACAAATGGAACCAAATCATCTTATTCAGTACAGGTACCACCCATACACTTTGAGTTTTCTGTAAAATTGTCATTTTTAAGGAGCCCCCACAGATACAACCGTATCAAGAGAAAAAAACATATTTGCGTTGAAATCTTAAGTCATGTGTGTCCCAAGTGGACTGGAAGCCACACATTTGTTTTGCTACCCTACGCACTTTTCTCCGAGCAACCGGCTCTGTAGCATTCAGGGAAGCACCAAATTACGTCGCGTTGACGTATGCTTATGACGTAAATGATACTTCCAGACGAGGTATACAGAACAACTCTATACGTTTTCAGGAATTCCTCGAAAGACTTGATCATTTGTGAAAACAAACAAGTGAAAAACAGCCCTCAGAAACAAACCAAAACGTGTACAGGCACAGAAGGATACATCAGGCAAATCGCGGGCCATAATGTGAAAGTTCGCGGTAGGGGGGCTTGTGACTTGCTATCGTTTGTATAACGAAAAAGATGTGTGTTTTCTTTCATTAAAGTACGCGGCACAGGGGTAAAACATGTTGCACATGTAAAAAAACATTAATAATGGGATTTGATGACGGCCTTTAGCATTTCTGAATGGAACATCTTTAAAGTTTGGTTGGTTGGGGGAATTTAAACCACAAACTAAACTTTTAAGATGTTCCATACAGAATTGCTAAAGGCCGTCATCAAATCCCATTATGAATTCAAGACAGGAAGGCAGGAGACTTCATTAACCGTTTTACCAGCTTCTTTAATTTTCCCAATCTCTCCACTGGCGGGGTTTAATCCGTTTCACCTCTCAACGTGAACCGGCCTGAGCAGAACATGACGCCTTGGGAAAAGACCAGGAAATGGGATAAATTCCTTATGGGATTATACTAGGTGCATTTTCACACCTTGTAAGCGAGACACACCCGAGACCTCAGAGGTTGTCGCTGCTCAAGTCTCATGTAAAGGGATACTCTTATAAACGCCGTCCGTGCCGTGTGAAGTCGTCAAAAGTAGGCAGACCAACGATGCGATTACTTTCTAAAAGGCTTGTCTTCTTCATATTGACGATGAGTGCCCATCTCTTCAAACACCATGATATTAAATCAGTGTTATGTTTCGTCTTTTACAAAACTGATCCGACTGAGTAAGCCAGGCTGAATGTTGCCCTTTCCGGTCTGTAGGCATTTCGGGAATGGTTTGTCCATCATGCACTGATTTCATCAGGTTGGGCTACACATTTCAACAGACTTACACTTTTAACGGCGCCAGCACAATGTGCCAATGAAATACAACTCCGGCTGTTTCATGATTACCTGGCTAAGGCTGGGAACAGCTTTTATTGCCGCTAGCTAATGGCAGCAGCAATTCCCCGTTAACTTGTATGTCAGTTGAGGGCTGTAGCTTCGGACCCGACCTTCGGTCACTGGCTTGGTACCGGTACATAATAATCCATGTCATATCCACTAGACACAAAATGGATACACGCAATATGAATACAAACCGTGTCTGTTGATGTTACGGAGTGCGCTGATCGATTCTGCGCAGTAGATAGCCATCAACCCTTTTGGGCTGCGGCAGCCATTTTGTTTTACTTCCCAAGCTTTACGGCTTATCTGATAAAAAGTATAACACGCAAGAATTATTTACCGCACACAACCTTCGTTCAGTATGTGTTAAATCTTTGTGATCATTGTAATGTTCTAAAAGGGTAATTTTTTTATGAACTCAAGCTAACTGAACCCGTGGGAGTTACAGGCCTTCGTGTCGGGAATTGCCAACACCTCTCCTCTTCCTTGTGATTGACCGGTAATTGTCTGTCACTTGATGAAGTGATGAACGCACGTGATACGTCGTTGCCAGAGTGAGAATTCAGGATGGCATGACGGCACCTCGGCAATGATAGCAGCCCAGCAGGTGATCCCCGTAATGCGGTGATCAATCTTACACGCATAGACGGCGGCAAACACCCGATCGTAGATCCGCAACCGAACGACATGCGAGTAGTGCATGTACTCAGCTACGGAGAAGTGGATGCACCGATGCAGCCGGCATAAGGCCCAAGCTGGACCAAGAGAGGGCACAATTTTCCTCGCAACAGCGGCTCCTTTGGTCGGAACTGCACTTCGCTGGTTCACAAACGACTATGAAATGCACGCGTTACGGGCGCGTCACTGCCAACAAAATGAACGCTCCCTACCAACATGGCCCTTTTCAACCGACCAGGGAGTGCTTCTGCTCAAGGCAGATTGCACGCAGATTCCACTGACGCACGCAACTCTTCCTGGCCGTTGCCATTTTACACTGTCCATGGTGGGTGCTTTACAATGAAACTGCGGGAATAATTTTTTTTTCAGTTTAACATATTTCGTATACACCACAGGCGGTACTTTTAGCATCGATTTCAAGAAATCAGCAAAACCGTCACCGATAACGGTGGTTAGGTTGGAACGGATTCTGTTATGCTTAAATACGGGCCATCCTCCCGCCTCTGGTTTTCAGTGCAAAGCTTGAAGCCTCATGCTATC